TTTTTTTTGTCCTGCTTAATATCCGGTTTCCAGCGGTGTACGATGACTGAACAAGAAAATGGCTACCTCTTTCCTCGGCCAGTAGAACGACCGGCAAAGACGTTAAAGGAAATAACAGAACGATCGTCATACGACTAGTCCGAGCGGCCGGCTGACTCACGCTAGTGAACTTTTTCTCTGTTGTTCACGACTTGCTCGCGATGAAATGAAATGTTCCTCTCTCGCCTCAACCCCAACGACCATTCAACGAACGTGCACCGAGTAAATCCGAGTCACACTCGAGGGTTACTCCGTAAATGCTTCTCCATTTTGGTTCAAAGCTCAATTACTATCGTTATAAATAATGACGAACGTAACAGTTGAAGTTCAGTTTTTCCCAATTCTAATTTGCATCTGGTATCGTACTCGGTAAATTAATATAACAGACTGAATGGATATGCCATCGTAAGAAAAATATTATTTGTTTTACACAAAAATTCAACTTCTTCGGATCAAAAAATCCTCTCACGTTATCGTTAAAACAAGAATTTAATGATATTTTACTGACGAACAAATTGAAGGTATGAAATAAGCAACGACATAATGTGACACAGCGACGATAATGTCAGACTAGGATGACTCGACCAAGTAGAACAGACAAATAAATAACTTAATCTAAATTATTATCGGAGATCATCTGAGCAATCGAAGGCTACGAATAGAGGATTAAATTCGATTAGAATATCGCTTACATGTTTGCGTGACAGCCTCGACGATGCCCAGAGTTAAAATTACACTCTGGAAGGACTTTCCCATGCGTATGAGTAGAAACAAGTCCCGTCGAGCCGTTCTAATTCAACGATTCAGTCCCCCGTCAGAAGTCGTTTCTTCATTAAGTTATCGGCTGTTTTCAAGACGCGAAGAAATCCCTCGTCCCCCTCCCAACGTTCATAAATTACCGTCTATCTGCCACTTGGAATATTGTTACGGGCAGAAAGAACGAACGTCGCGAACGAAAGAGTTCATCGGCGAAAAAAGAGGAAAGACTGGTTTGTTTCATCTGTTCGGAGTCGATCGGTCATTATGCAAACGGCTTTATTTCCATCGGCTATCGCGAAATGCTTCGCAGTTGCTGCAGAAGGAATTTCCGATTACCCCGTAATTCATCTTTCATGGCTGTTTGGTTAGTTAATTTCTTTTTCCGCCAGTGGGAAAAAATTCGAGGCTGCGATTCGCGCGTGAATTTTGGAGTAAGATGTAAAGTTTGCTTTTCTCCCCAACGATCAGGACGATGTCATCAGGGCGAGAATACCGGATGATTCAAAGATGAGATGGCTGGATTTTAGGGGGCCATGATGAATAGAATGGCACACGCCAGTTAGGTGAATTTTGGTACGATGTAACGACTCGAGGAAACAATCGTTTTCGTGCATATACGTAGAGTGTATAAAAACAATAGTACTTTATCGTTATTATTTCTTTAACGTCAATGTTTTTGAAAATTTCAGAGTGTGCGAAATAACACTGCCAAGTTAAATTTAAATCTGCTTGTAATACATGCACGAGCCAAATAATTACATCGTAAATGTACCGAAGACGTGTATCAATTTGTCAAGAGATACGTGCCATTTCTCGCAATGATGAGATGGCGAGTCTGATTTTCCGGAAGTATAAATCAAGCTTTCTCGCTGGTCTCATTTAGCCTCGTTTAATCCGTGCCATCGAGCTGAAGCGCCGGGTAAATTCGAACTGAAGTTATACTTCGTCCACTCGCGAGTTAGAGTGAACGGTGTATTTGTCGAAAAGAAGAAGAAGAAGAAAAAAAAACAGAGATCTGATAAGAGAAATTTTTATCGCTAATATATTGAAATCGCATCTTATCGAAATTCTTTATTCCTAATCT